TATATGTATATATATATGTATATATGTCGAAGCAGATGACCACTTGTCCTGAGCCTGGTTCTGCTAAAGGTTTCTAACTCATGAGGGAGTTTTTCCTTTCCACTGTCACCTTCATGTGATGAAGTTAAACTCAAAGCAGTCTGCTCCTCAGATAAATAATGTTAAATTATTATTTTTATATATGAATGTTTCTGTTCAGTGCCCTGAGACGACTTCTGTTGTGACTTGGCGCTATAGAAATAAATTGAATTGAAAATAAATAAACTGAATTGAATTAAAGCTTAAAGACAGTTAAATGTTATATTTTGTTTCTCCTTCAGGCCGTACATCATCGTGAAGAGGGGCCATCCGATGGTGAATAACAAACATATCGAGGATCTGTCGCAGGGCTACAGGTGAGGCTGAGAACTGCTTAATATTCATCAACTTGTGTTAACAAAGTTAATCAGCATATACAGCATCATAGATGAAGTGGCTGGTACAACATGTCTCTTTACATATTTACTAAACCAATACATCTTTTATTTCTGATATTATAACTGATCCTTCACCTCTAGAAAACACCAGCTCTTGTTTAAACATTTCCAGCTGCTTCTGACGCGCCTTCAAGTTGTGTCAAACAGATCCTCTCTTCGAACTTGAGGAGATTCTGGTGTTTCTTTTACTGTTCCTGTGACCTGACGCCCCTGACCACTTCTGACTCTTCTCTCATCTCCAGAACGTTTGAGGACTTTCTGCACGAAAGTCTGGTGGAGTACCTGGACGTGAACGAGGAGAACGACTGTCAGATTGCTCTTTATGAACACATGATCAGCAAGTGCGTGAAACGCTGCACAGCTTTTATTTTAAAGAGCTACCCTCCCGGGTTTTGTCAATCTCAGCGTGCTCTTTTGAATTTCCTTCTGTAGAGACACGACCCACTTGGAGATCGAGCCCTTCACTCTGCTCGGAGTGTGTGCAGGCCTCATTCCCTACCCCCACCACAACCAGTCGCCCAGGAACACATACCAGTGCGCTATGGGCAAGCAGGCCATGGGTAAGCCTCATCTGAGCAGGTAGTTTCACATCACGGCACAAACGCACACTTGCAGTATTTTCTTCTTACAACAAACTCGTTGAAAGTTAAAAGTTTTATTTGCAGGAGTTAAAATAGACATTAGAATAACAAACAGTGTGGATACAAGTCGCCTGCTGGTTCTGCGCCCCCCCACAAACTCTGCTCCTGCACCATTTCTTGTCAGAATACATTTGGATATGTGATCAAGTGTTTGGCTGATGTGTGTGTGTGTATGCGCATGGACATCAAACATGGGGCGCTTGCGTAGGTCCTCCATTGTGCTGTGTGTGCGGAGGCCCTTTCCCTGCCAGTCACCCAGAGTGTCATTAGCAATTCATTGTGTCTGCGCTGGCTGTGCTCTCGGAGGGGGTCAGTGTGCTCAGCTGCAAAAAGCCCAAAGAGTGTGCACCCAGAGCTCCCTGGTAACCAAAACTTCCCCAAACTGCCCGGCTAAGATCTGCAGTCACCCACCCCTCCTTTCTCTGCTGCTTCACCTCCATCCGTTTATCCTGCCCTCCCCCCATCTTTACAGAAACACTGACTGGAACTATATTTGGCCTAATATCCTCTGTGTTGTCTGTTTTTGTATGGACAGCCCTTTACATGTGCAAATCTGGTTGTGTGGCGTGAGCCTATTATCACCGACTTTGTGCTTGTAGCCCGATTGTGAAGTACTAGCATTTGACAAATGTCGGGGCTTCCAGGGAGGTCAGGCTTTATGCCATAACTCTCCTTGTTCCTCCTTTGAGCTCCTCTGAAACGAGGTTAACCAGCCAAACAGGAGGACTTTATATAACCCTCCAGAATTAATAAGATTTCAAACAGTATTCATACGTGACTCTTCATCTCGTCTTCCCAGGAACCATCGGCTACAACCAGAGGAACCGCATCGACACGCTCATGTACCTGCTGGTGTATCCTCAGAGGCCCATGGTCAAAACAAAAACCATCGAGCTGATTGATTTTGAGAAGCTGCCGGCGGGTCAGAACGCCACGGTGGCTGTGATGAGCTACAGCGGCTACGACATCGAGGACGCCCTGGTCCTCAACAAGGCCTCGCTGGACAGAGGTGAGCGTGAAACCTCCCACATCTTTGTTTCACGTTTCTGTAGATTTAGAATCGCAGACTGAACTCTGACGGCTGATAGAGAGCTGAATTTGTTTCTGCTCAGGATTTGGTCGGTGCCTCGTCTATAAAAATGCCAAGTGCACCCTGCGCCGTTACACCAACCAGACCTTCGATAAAGTGATGGGGCCGATGCTGGACGCCACCACACGTAAACCCATATGGAAACACAACATCCTGGATGCTGACGGCATCTGCTCCCCTGGTGAGTACCAGGAGATTTAGAGGAGGTCCAGCTTGATCTGAGTCTGCTCTGTTGTGTCTGATTTTATTAATAAAAATACAGAAAACTGATTTTCTAATTGATGTTTCTCTCATTCAGCAGTGGCGTTCAGTTTTTAATAGTCTCTGTTTAGATCATTTGAAAAAAGGTTATGAACCATTATTGTCTTACCTGTCCTAGATGGCTCTTTGAACAGCCTTAATTTAGAGGAAAAAGTTAAATTCAAACTGGATCAATTAAAGGGAAAGACCAAAAACTTAGATGTACTTTATAAACCTTTACTCTGCTGTGCATTTTGCATTTCATATTTACGTAATTCAATGGTTATTTAGTCACAAAAAGCTTCAGCAGCTAGCTATAGCACTTCTAGTGCAGCCTGGAGCACTTCCTGCATAAATTTTACATTTCTTTCAGAATAATTGTGTCATGCAAAATTAAAAGTGATGTAAAGTTAATTTAAAAGTGTTTGTTTAAAGTCCACTCAGACTAGCAGTTATCTCTTCAGTCTGATTAAAATTAAACTTTGTTTTTCCAAACTGAAGTCAATCTGAGAGCTATCTGCAACAGGTAAGATATTAATTGTTCACAACGCTTCCACAGACCCTTTCTTCAAATGGTCTGAACTATAATTTTAACACACTTTGAAAATAATTTATAATTGCTTTTGAAACATAATGGTGATGTTGATTGATTAAAAAGATGCACATTCCTACTCTTTATTACCGAAACCACGGATTTACTTTAATCAAATTTATAAAACATTTACAAAGAAGGCATTTTTTAAATGTAGCGTTATATAAGCCTGTTTCTCACTGAGCTACAAATGTTTACAAGTAGTTGGAGACACACAATTGTGAGAAAATGTACACGTTTTTACGTATAATCCCACTGAACTGGGACTGACGACATGTCCGTGTACATACTGTGAATGAGTTGATGTTTAAGAGACAGTCCTGCAAATGGCGAATTTATTTGTTGCAATATATTTGCCAAGTATGAGATTCAGTGGTAGCAAATAACAAAAACTGTGAGGTAAAGATAAAGACCAGCACACTTTTGAGAAATATACAGTAGTCCCTCGCTACTTTGCGGTTTGTTTATCGCGGATTTGCTCTAACGTGGTTTTGTAGATGAACAGATGCTCAGATATATTCATCAATTAACACGGATTCCTCATTTTTCTGGACTGAATAAAACGTGCATTGAATTTAATGAAATGCAAACGTGAGACGTCATTTATCTTTGACCCATCAAAATGAATGCGGTCATTTATTTACAGAATCAAAGTTTAACATCAAACATTTACATTAATTTGGCCAATTATGAAAATAACAACATAATCAATCAATCAGGAAAAACCATACGGCCATGATTTTCCGTTGCTTCACCACAGACATTTATGAAAACTGTACAATTATGTCAATTGTCCACACGGCGGTGGATGAGCACTTTACACAGACATTTCTAAATATCTAGAAGGATTTCTACTTTAGAGAAGAATTTAAAGATGGGAAGGAAGTTAAAGGGAGTAAAAGATGGTGTTTGAGGGAGAGTGTTGAACAGAACGGCACTCTCCGGGCTTTCTTCAGCTTCTTCCTTACAGTACACTTAGGTGGTGAAATCGACTCTTTTACCTGGAGATGTCTCAGGCAAGATTCCGTTTAACGCACCCTTTCAGCGTCTCCGTAGGATGCTGTGAATCGTCCGAAGTAATGGCGAGGCTCTGTCCGACACAAGCTCACCTCAGTGGAAAATGTTATAATCCCATGAAACTCGGAAGAGCTCTGTGGTCATGTCAGGGTCTTCCCGGCTCCCACAGCAACTGCCAGCACTAGGACATATCAGAACTGTCCGCACCGCCGAACTTCTCCAAAACCACAGAACTCCACAGAACTGGGCTTCTCCGCGCAGAACTGAACTCAACTCTGCTCAACTCTCACAGCACTCGTTAGACCAGGAAGTACCGACATTTTAAAGAGCTCTTTTCCCGGTTCATTTGGGAGTCTTCCCATTGGTCAGAACCGACCAGACGGGGTGTGTTTTGTGACGTAAGAGGTTAGAAGACAGCAAGAATTGTTATGGAACAGATCAGAAATGTTCTCAGAGACATAGAGAGTTTTGTTTTGGCGAGTTTTAGAAACAGGTGCCAACTCCTTCTGTTTACGTCTGAGAGGATGTAAACAAGACAGTTGTTCCAACCCCTGTCTGCTTCGACTCCTGACCCTGAAAAACGCACACTTGCTCATTCAAAGACAGAAATCAGAAAATGCATAATTACTCTGTAACAGCTTTAACATGAATTCTAACTTTGCATGAGAATTAAAAATCATTACACTGTTTCAGTTAATAAAATCGATTAGTTCACTGCAACATCTAAAATGGTTTGAACTAAGACACTTTGATTATCAACATTTGTAAAATAGTAATGATAATAGAAAAGAGAGTGTTCTTCCACTTGAATTTTCAAGAAAGAAAGTCTCAGGATGGGTGAACCTGTATTTCTGGATTCAAATCAATGAAATGACAGTTCCTGTCCCACAAGGTTCTTAAGGTCAAGGGTTTTGACCTTAGGCTTAGTCTTGACATCAGGTTAAGTTCACTACAGTTTGTCAAAATGAGATTTGACACGACACACAATTGGCTGATTGATGGACGAACCATACGATCGGCATGGAATTTTTATTTAAAATAAATTATTTAGCACCTGCTGCTCCTTTGTACAGCCCAGAGCTGCAGGATAAACTTCCTTCTGCAGCTGATCAGCTGATCTGGTGCAGAGTGGAGCAGTGGGCGTGGCCAAGAGCACTTGCAGGTGGCTGAGAGCAGCGGAGGCACAGAGAGGGAAATTGTGACATTCTGTGCTCTTTTAAAGAGTTTAGAGCAGGGGTGTCAAATTCACCTACAAAATGGGGGCAACATTAAAACCGTTTTCAAACTAAGGGCCAGTTTCAGAATCTACATTAACTCAAGTTAGATACCCAACATTTTTTCTTGGTTGCAGTTTCTTCAACAAGAGTTTGATTGGTCTCATTTGACATTCTCTGTTTTATATCATAATCAAAGATTACTGAAAAAAACAAGGGATAAAGGTATTTTACATTTAAAATAACATCTTGGGGGGCAGATAAGATGTCAACGAGGGCCACATTTGGCCCCCGGGCCTTGAGTTTGACACGTGGTTTTGAGTTTAGAAGGGTCTTCATGGTACGGATCCCCCGCGATAAACGAGGGACTACTGTAAATAAGTTTCTCTAGCTAAAATATTATAAATGTTCAAATGCAAAGCTGTTTTAGAATGTAGTCCAGCTGTTTATTTATTAATTATGACCTAAATCACATTAAGTAAAGCTAAACCAAAGCTTTTCTGGCTTTGGTCCCAAAAACACTGAATGTACTGTATCGATAAAATGATCAAATGTTTTAACAAGGTGACTTTGCAGCTATAAATTGTTTTGAGTTCAAGTTCTTGAATTTCCACAAGACAGTGGTTCAGAAGATAAGTTAAAGGGGGTAGAGTCTACACCTGTCACTCATCTTTAAGCCAAACTTGATCCAAATAAATTAAAAAGTATTTTTCACTTGAGTTTGAACGCAGCCAGTGTAAATGAGCGCTCTGTGACCTGTAGTTTGTCCAGGAGGATCGTTCTAACTCTGATGTGTCTCATGATGTTCAGGTGAAAGAGTGGAGAACAAGCAGGTGTTGGTGAACAAATCCATGCCAACTGTCACCCAGACGCCACTGGAGGGCAGTGCCCAGCCAGGCCAGCCTCAGTACAGAGACGTGCCCATCAGGTGAGAGCAGTCCATGTCCCAGATCCACCGTACGTACAAGTCCTGCTGCAGCAGATGTAACATGAACACGGGCGGACTTTGTTTCCAGCTATAAGGGCTCCACAGACTCGTACATCGAGAAGGTCATGATCTCGTCCAACGCAGAAGAGGCCTTCCTCATCAAGATCCTCCTGAGGCAAACCAGGAGACCAGAGATCGGAGATAAATTCAGCAGTCGACACGGACAGAAAGGTGCTTTCATCACAGCTACAACGTTCTCTGTGAGACTAAACCTGCGTACGGACCTCAGACGTACTCAAGATCTAAAGGATCTGCTGAGAGATTGTAAATGACTGGATCAAAGAAAGTAAACCGCAGGTCGTTCTTCTGCGCAGGAGCATTTGTTGAGTCAAGTCCCGGTGGCTGTAGCCCCCATCCTCATTTTTCAAGAGCTCTTTTCAATTAATTGGCTCTTTGTCCTGTACCAGACTATGCAAATTTATTACACCCCAGCAGTGTTCTGCAGGGGGGGAAGTGTTTACAACCTCCATTGTCTTGCAGCGCCTCCCCATAGAGGTCTGGTATGATGTTTTAATCCAAAAGCTAACTGGCGCCGTGCATAATTTACTCTCTTCATTAACGCGGTGAGCGCTGGGCGGTCAGCTCAGGGTGGGACAATGTCTTCTGTCCCGGATCGAGGGGTCGCAGAGAGGTTAGCCAGAGGAGATCCGGATGGAAGCGCCCAGATGTGCAACAGGTTTTTGCTCTGAGGTCTTGGCGGTGACGTTCAGCTTCTAAAACAGCCAGGGTCCTGTAAAGTTTAAGAAACCTATTTTGTACTTGACAAACATTTAATTGGATTCTTTTGGGAATCCTAAATCAACACGAATACTAATTAAATTTGAAGTGAATTTGGGTGCAGTGATGGATCTCCCAGCTTCTCTTCATGCATTCTGGTCAGCAGAGCAGAATAAGTTAATTATTTACCGGTCTCACACACACACACACACAGCTGTGGAGGTGGGGGGAGGACGTGCAGGGTTGTCAGTATTACGGCCCCATTGTGCGAGGCGTCAGTGTGAAGCTGTATGAGCTGTGATGGAGGGCTCGGGACCCTCGCTGTTGTCCGTCTGATTTCACGCCTCTTTTATCATTCACTTTCACACAAAACAAACAACACCAGAAGATGTGTGGATTTGGAACCAGTGTCTCTTTATAGTTTATCCATCCTTGTTTTATTCTACACAACTTTTTACCTTGATGTCGAGCCTCTTTCTTTTGATTTTCTTCTCTTTCTTTTTTTAAAAGTCTTGTTTCTTTTCACTTTCTTCCTGCTGTTGAATGCTGTTCCACTAAACTGCTGCACTTGTTCTCAGTCAACATCCTGTTGCAACATCCTGTAAGGCATCAGCAGTCTGTGAGGCGCTGGCCGCTCGGCTCATAGTGAATTTTTCCCACGTGCATCGATTCAGCTTCTCCTCTCCAGTTGATCCCCTCCACTTCCTCCCAGTCGAACTGAAAGTCATGGGTGTGTAATCCAGGTCCAGCTAAGCATCTTTCTCCACTTCCTGCTTCTCTGCTTCTCTTTGCTCTTTTTTTCATTTGCAAATGGGACTACAATCTGTTTACCCTGACCAGTGAAGAGTGCTTCGGACCCTCTGCAAACATTTGCACTCACACTTAAACTCCGTGCTACCAGGGAGCTCGTCCCCCACATCGTGCGAGTCAAAAGAGGACCCTGTCGGTCCATGAGTGCAGAAATGTCCTGCGATCACAGACAACGGCTCCACTGGAGCGTTCCTGACACAAACGTTGAAGAAAATATCTATATTTAGTTTAGGTGCAAAACTTGCTGCAGGTTTTTGTTTTATGCACTTTAATATTATTAATTTCAAACCTTTTTGTTCTGTCACCTGAGCAGGCGCAAAACAACAAAATGCACTAATATATATATATATATATATATATATATATATATATATATATATATATATATATATATATAGAGAGAGAGAGAGAGAGAGAGAGAGAGAGAGAGAGAGAGAGAGAGAGAGAGAGAGAGAGAAAAAACACGGTGTATAAGGTGCAACAAACCCTAAAATGAAGGAGCATTTCAGAAAAATTCATAATGATAAATAATTTCAAACATTTACCAAACAGGTAAACAGAAAAAAGTTACTGAAGTAAAAGAAAGGCGTCAAATTAGCGTCATGTCTATCAAACTCCTTAAATTACAGTTTAAGAAAACATAAAAGTAGCTTTGAGTTCAATGTTTTATGAAATGCAACAAAAATGAAACTCTTCTAAAAGATGAATACAAAAATGTCAGTACTATAGAACAGTTATTTTGTCTGAACTTTAAGAGGTCAGTTTGAAAAGACAAAAACGAAACTGGGAAATTGTTTCTTTTCCTTCTCAGATTACGTTTTGCTTTTCTCTGCTCCGACTCGATCAGTTTCGTGTGTTTTTCAGGTGTTTGCGGCCTCATCGTCCCACAGGAGGACATGCCGTTCTGCGACACAGGAATCTGTCCAGATATCATCATGAATCCTCACGGATATCCCTCCAGAATGACGGTACGACTCCCAACAGTCCTCTGTGCCACTGGGTGACAGATTTTTACGTCTTCAGTGTGTTAGATGAGTTGTCTAACAATTCCTTTGTAGAAAGAGGTGCTACCCTCATTCGTCCCACAATGGGCCCTTGAGCAAGGCCCTTAACCCCCACCCTCTGCTCCCCTGGCGCTCTAGATAGCAGCTCTCTGCTCCACACAGAGGGCTGTGGTAGCTCGGTGGTCTGTGGTTGTGTCAGGAAGGGCATCCAGCGTATAAATAATTGCAAAGTCTTCGTGCATCTTAGTTCGCTGTGGCGACCCCTGAAGGAGGGAGCAGCTGAAAGAAGAAGAGAAAACAACAGATTGAAAATAAAAATAAATAAATAAATAACAGTAATTATCAGTTATTCATTGAAGAAGTTCAACTTTTCCTTGTTTTAGTGAAAACGTGGCCGTTCTTCAGCTGATCCCAGACCTGTAGCTGACGCTTCCTCGTGTTTGACCTACATCACCTCGGTCTTTGTGTTGACTGTGTCTGTTTAAGTTCGTGTCGACTCTTCTGAGACAAAACGCTCATTATCTCCGCTCCTCTTCTCTCTGGGTTATCGTTGGCTCCCAGAGCACACAAACCATTGACGCCGTTAAGCAGCAGTCTTGCTCTTTACAAACAGATATTTGTTGCTGCGGAGACGGCTGCCGGCGGAGGCGCCGCCTGTTGCAGCGTGTGGAAGTTTTACCAAACGTGAGCGGCTCATGTGAGCGGCGGGATGCTGCAGAACGACGTGACACTTGGCCTCTTTTCTGCTCGCGCTGTAAAAACCGGACGGATCTGAACTGTTGACGTTGTTTGGTGTGTTTTCTCGCCCCGGTTGCCACGGAGAAGCCTCAGAAATGTTTGGCTCGGGAGGATGTTTCTGTGGCCTGAGAGTGATATGAGAGTAGGTGTTTCCTTTATGTGGCGGGGTCAGGGGTCCTCGGGGTGCAGCCTCAGTGGGATTGTTGAAATCAGTCATCCTCGGAGCGACGTCCCCACTCTGAGGGGGCAGGGGGTTACATGTGTAATCTAATTTCACCCACAATAATCAGAGCTTTGTGTCAGCAGATGATGTAAATCCTAAAAAAAGATTCGTGTTGAGATTATTTTTCTTTCCAAAATGTTCTGGATGTGATCAGGTGGGAAAGTTGATAGAACTGTTAGCCGGGAAGGCGGGGGTCCTGGACGGACGGTTTCACTACGGGACAGCTTTCGGAGGCAGCAAAGTGAAGGATGTGTGTGAGGATCTGATCCGTTATGGATACAACTACCAGGGCAAGGACTACGTCACCTCAGGGATCACTGGGTAATTATCTGTCACAGCTTGTAATAAAAATATGTTTCCAGTTCACAACACACTCAAGAACTAAAAAGACTTCCCCAGATTTATTCTTGTTGAAAATTTTTTAAATGATTTAAGTTTTAATGCCATTCCAGGCAGCTCTGTTAGTAAAATATCTCGTGAATTACTGGATGAATATTAATTAAACTCTCAAAGTAATCACTGAATGTACATGTAAGCCCAATTAACTTTTCAAGTCAACTTGATTCAAGATGGCCGCCACAGCTAACTGACATTAGCCAACACAAAAATGTCTACCTTAGTGAATTTTACAGATACTGAGCTAAAACTTCATGTGGTAGTAGAGGAGAGTCATTCACAGCTCGTACTTTGAGGGTGATTTCTTGTAACCATGTATAAGATACAGTAGTCCCTCACTACTTCGCGGTTCGTTAATCGCGGACTCTATCGCAATTTTTCAAAATAAGATTGGACTTTACACACAATTGGCTGATTGATGGATGAGCCATGATAATTTTTTATTTAAAATACATTGTTTTAAATTATTTAGCAACTGCTGCACGTCTGTGCTGCCCAGAGCTGCAGAAAAAGCTTCCTCCTGCAGCTTATCAGCTGATCTCCGTGCAGAGCTAAGAAGTGGGCGTGGCAAAGAGCAGTGGAGGCAGAGCGCTGAAATCATGACAATCTGCGCTCTTTTAGAGCGTTTAGAGCTTAGAAACATTATTTAGAATATTGCAAGAGTGTGAGAAGGCTTTAAAACTCCTTTATATAAATATTGAAAACAAAAAAAGTATTTTCTAATCTACCTCGCCATAAAAAGATCAAACCTTTGATTTTCCATTTAACACTTCCTTATGACCCATCTTTGCAGTTGGAGTCGACTCTCAAAGCATCTTTAACCAGTAAGGTCTTCAGTGGCTCCGGTTTATTAAACCAACAATAAAATTCCCGTCTTATTATTTAAAATATTGCAAAATTCGATGGCTTCGTTACTCTGTTGTTGGTTTGTTATCTCTGGATGTTTTGTTTTTTCCTAAAATGTACCAAATATTTATGGCGTTTTCCTCAGAGAACCTCTGGAGGCCTACATCTACTTTGGACCGGTCTATTACCAGAAACTGAAGCACATGGTTCTTGACAAGATGCACGCCAGAGCCCGAGGCCCCAGAGCCGTTCTCACCAGGTGAAACCAACAGGCTCTGTTCGCCGCTGACGAGTTTCCAAAGTCCGAGCAGAAAGTCTGAGGAATCATAACGGCTACGCTTGAATTTCTCTCCTCTACCATCGACAGGCAGCCCACCGAGGGTCGCTCAAGAGACGGAGGTCTACGTCTGGGGGAGATGGAGCGCGACTGCCTGATTGGTTACGGAGCGAGCATGTTGCTGCTGGAACGCCTCATGATCTCCAGCGACGCCTTCGAGGTGGACGTGTGTGGAGAGTGTGGCCTGTTGGGATACTCTGGGTGGTACGTTTTTTTACATCTCCACCACAGCTCGCGGTCACTTAGGATGACTTAATACAGGAACTGAAAGCAAAATCTAATGTCATTTGGCACCAAACAGGAAGTGCACAGTGGCTGATCGCCACAAAATGGCTGCTCTGGTTTAGACTAAAAGAGCAGATCTGGGTCGCAGAGAAGGTCCACTGCCAGCAGACTTGATCCACTTCCACTTTGGATCTTGACTGCAATGACAGGCCCCTCTTTAAGCTGCCATTGAGCATTCACACATTAACCAGTGAAGTCCTGCGACCATGGATGTTTTCACACTGCATTACAGAGACGCCCAATCAAAGACCATCAACAGGTTCAGGTTGGAATGATAAAATGTGACCTGAAGCTCCTAAAATCTTAATTTATACTCAATACATTATCAAAACAAGAATGGATGAACATTAGTGAGATATTTTTGCCAGTTATCCAAATAAATACAATGTTGTTGTATAAATTCCAAATGAGTCTCTTACTGAGTTTTACACCTCTAAATGGTTTTAACTCTGATGACATCACACACTGGTTTCTGTGGTCCTGACTGTTCCTTACTCACATGAATTGTTTCAACCCTGTGACTGTCTTGGACCTTCCAGTCTGCTGAACCTCGTTATAAAAAGAGATGTTTAAGAAGCCCTTCTGCTCAGGGTGGTATCTCACAGGACTGCAACTGTTGGAGATAACTGGTGACAAACTGGTGACTCAGAATTGTGAGAAAATTGTCTTGAATCTCAAAGAACTCTGTTTGGGATCAAGTCAACGGTGAGTCGTGCCACATTTGGACTACTTTTCTCTGCACGACAGATTTGGACCAGTTTTCAGTCATTATGAATGGTTGGTGCTTCAGGTGTCTTCTGACAGAACAGCTCCTGTCAGGTGTCAAGCTACTGGAAACACCTGTGACAAAACTGAAACTGGTTTGAGACACTCGTGATTACTCTGGGATTATTTTGAGGGAGAATTAGTCGCACTATTTGTTTTGAACGTGGACAAAATTCGAGCTCTGCGATTTACGTGAGGAAATTAGGACACCTCACGAACGTTTGAGACTTTTTGAAGACTCTTTAAAATGCTGTTCACCAACTAGTCGCTCTTAAGTGAGATACTATTTTACGGAACCCAGTCAGGTCTTCTCTTCTGGACCTGTATAAAGCTGTGGGATACAGTGGAGAAAAAAATATCTATGTTGATGGGAATAAATCTCCTGCCTTCATGGGGGCTCAGTGGTTAAGTGTCTTGTCATCCTGGGGTTGCCAGTTCGAGCCCAGGTGGCATCAGGAAGGGCATCTGGAGGGAGTTCCAAATCTTTCATGCAGTCCCACCCCCTGCAGAAAAGAGCAGCCAAGAGAAACTTACCTTTTACTACAAGAAGCCTCCAGAAGGACCCGTTTCAGAGGCTCGTCTTTCTAAAGTGGTGAAAGGGCAGGACATGGATAAAAAACAAACACTAAAGCAGGAAACCCGCCATGAGAACGAGAGAAATAAAAGAAAAACACAAACAACTTCAGCGACGGTCATTTTGGCTTTGGTGACTCGTGTTTCCCACGTTTCTGATTCTCTCCGTGCATTGAGTCGTCTGCCACGTTACTAACGTCCTGGTTTGTGTTTGTGTTCCTCAGGTGTCACTACTGTAAGTCTTCCTGCCACGTTTCCTCCCTGAGGATCCCGTACGCCTGCAAGCTGCTGTTCCAGGAGCTGCAGTCCATGAACATCATCCCGCGGCTCAAACTGTCGCGCTACAACGAGTGAGAGGGCTCGGCCTGCGCGAGCGCAGAGTCAGAAACTGTAATAAGTCTGGAGCTGCTTCATCTGTTCACAACGTTTGAGGTTTGGGTTGAGTGGAGAGAAACAGGCTGAAGGGTTTTTTTGGTTTTCACAAACTAACTGTGACAATTAGAGGATGATTCCTCTGATTTATGTTTCTCAATTTATGTTTGTTAGGTTTTTGTGTACAGAATAAATACAAAACACTTATTTCAGATGTGTGTCTCGTAATTTATTTACAAATATGCATCAAACTGCACTCGGGGCAGGTTCTATTGGGCAGAGTCCCTACCCATAATGCTTTGCTGCACATTAACCTGCTTCTCTCCACTGCTAAAAACTTTATAAAACTTTATAAATAAGGATAATTTAATCGAGTTCAAATGAAAAATCATGATTTCACTTTTTTTTCCTCACAAACCTCCTTTACAATTTAGTTAAAATTTTTAATTAATTTTTCATTTGAACTTTAGGCGTGGACATCACATTTTCTTTTCTTATTATCATAATGTTTTCTTTGTTAAGTTAAAATGTTTAAAACAAGTTTTTTCAATAAACTGCTTGGTACTACAGCCGATCGGCGAGAACAAGTCTTTAAAATAAACGTAGCATGTTTGAGTTTTTGTAAAGATCTGAAATTCAGCGTTTGAGGAGGGCAGTGTGCGCAAAAGTTATTAAAAGTTAAAACGTTAAAGAGAAAACTTTAACTTTAGGAGAATATTGTTGATAATTTTGACGATTTTCACCTGAAAATATTTCAAGTGTGAAAGATTGTTGTTGCCTCAGCAGTTTAACAGGACGTGATGGCATAAAACAGAATAAATATTTAAAAAAAATTTTTAAAAAATCTTTTTTTTGTTTGTTTGTTTTTAATTTGATCAAAAATGCAACAAAAATATTAATATCATATATAGCAAGTGTGCTGTTTGGGGCTGGTCAGAAAACCTGAAAACAACTAAAACGGTTATTAAGGCCAATTAAAAAAAATAAAAAGCTGTTTTACTAAAATGTTTTAGCCTCTTAAAGCCAATTATGTCCGACATTTTCATTATAGTTTGATCTTGTAATTAGTTTCCTAATTAACATATAAACCTATAAAACGCACAAAAACAAAGCGATCATGGCAGAAAAATAAACATTTAACATTCAAGTCATGCAAACTTGAACTATACAACTTGACCTCCGACACAGATATTATTATTTATAGAAGTTATTATTAAATTATATAATATATTAGTTATTATTTATCACTTTGATCATATCTGTCAAAATCCTTTCAATATTATTTTTTCTGAAGTAAAACAAGAGTAGTATGACTTTTAAAAAAGAAAATGATCTAAATGACTTTAAAACACAAAAACTAGTTTAGTGAATTAGCAACAATAAAATGTGAAATGTTTATATTTTCTGTCACATTTTCTAAAAATTTTTTTTTTTTTCTGTGGAGCATTTTTCACTCTAGTGACTTATTTTTTTGAGGTGTCATTATGTTCTGTTTTGTAGGTTTTTTTTCTGATATGTCACTTTTCTTATAAAAATCATCCCTTCACTTTTATTTGGTTCATCTGAGCTTTTAAAATTCACACTTCTCCTTTTTGTTTTTTTGTCTTAATGATTCAAGTTACTTTATTTAGTCTTATTTATTTAAAAACTAATAGTTTTGTAAAGGGTTTTCACAAAATGGGGTGATGGACAGTTTTTTAAAAAAAATTAATTTTATTTAAAAGTCAAGTGCCGTGCAAACATCTGGACGTTTGGTGCTCTGGAAACGCAGCAGCCTTGTTAAGAAGGAAAAAGCTGCTTTAAGTTGAATTGTTTCCTCTTTAAACTGCAGCCTTGATGCTGACACACACACACGACTGGGGCCTTTTCATGCAACAAAAGCATGCATTTGTGCTGACAGAGTGTGTGATAATGGGAAGGACAGAGGAGGCTGCACCTGTTCTGTTTTATGAGGTTCTAATGGGATAACAGCAGGAAAACGATGAAGATGATGGATGTTCAGACTCCACCTTCTTCTCCTCTGACTGACAGTGATCAGATCCCAGGTGATCGGATCGAGGTGTAACTGTGTGTTGTTAGCCGTTTGTCTCGTCCAGATCTGATCCTGCTCTGTGGACCTGTGCGCCTGCACCTCGTCCTCCCGGTGCGTCAGGTGTCTGCAGAGTATCAGCAGCAGTGTTCGTGCCTGCGCGCTGAAAGAGAAAGTCCTTTGCCTACCGTGGTGCTGTGAGTAATTCAGCCATAATCCGCCTTTCTCCTCTCCCCTCGTCTTTCTCCTTCTCCTCTCCCCCTCTCCTGCCGTTCCATTCATATTCTAATCACAGCTTTCCCTTCTCCAGCTCTCAGGCACTCCATCAGAGCCCTCCCAGCTTCGGGCTTTGCACTTTTACTTCCCCCCCCCACCTCCTTTTTTGTGACCGTTCCCTCTTCTCAGAGGCACACCAAAAATTAAGGCACTGAACCTAAAAAGAAGCTCTGATTTAAAAAATAAACACTTGTGGCGTTTTAACATAATACAAATAAAATCCTGTGGCAAATCTAAGAAAGGTTCAACAGGTGGAGAGAGGCAACAGGTGGCTGCAGGATGTGATGATGCAGGTTAGGAGCGTGGTTTACTTCCAGGCTGGAGGTGTATAAAAATGTCTGAAATGCCATAACAGAAAGCGAGGAGGCCAAAGTGTTAGGGCTGCGTAGATCTAAGCCTCTTTTTTTTTTTTTTTTTTTTTTTGGGTTTGGTGGGAGCTTTTCTTATTCAAAACAGCCCAACAAAAGACTTCCAGTGAGCCTTGCCACATCCCCATCTGACTCGGGGCCATTCATCAGCCTTCCAAGCCTATCAATGACATGTCCCCATCAGGGCTCCTATAAAATCAGCCCCTTTCCCATGAAACATCAGCAAACATTTTGACGGGTCTGGCTTTCCCCCCGCTGGATTTCTGGAGTCCCTCTTCTCCGCCCGACCCCCCCATCCTCTTTACACCCCTCCCTTAACGCCCACCTCCCCCCTTCTTCTTGCTTCTTGTGCTCCGCCAACACCACCCCTCTCTGGGCGAACCTCAGATCCTCAACATCTCCCGTGACGGGCAGCGGTCACGGAAACAGTGCGAGACGAGGGGAGAGCCGCGGAGGAGGGGGCAGCGCACACCGAGCCATTTTCTTGGAAGAGCCAGCGTCGTTGATGGGAAGAGGATGCACTGCGGGCTGCTGGAGGAGCCTGACATGGATTCCACAGGTCAGTCACAAACTATCGAGAAACTCGTCTTCTGCTGCAAACTTTCCTCTGGACTTTTCTGGATCTGATTCTCTCCACCCACTCTTTTTTAAAATTTTATTTCTGTTTTACAAAGGTTTTTATTCGTCGCACATATTTCTGCTTAGTGCTTTAATTGGACGCACTTGTTCAGCAGTTTCAAGATTTTTCTAACAAAGTGGCTTTTCGGTGAAACGTTTGACCAAAAGGACGTCTGAAATAAAAACTAGAAGTTCTCATGGGGGTGCAGTGCACCTGTTCCCCCTCGGCTTATTTACTGAGCTTAAACTTGGAAAAGTGAACCATTACCTTGTTTTCACTGAGAATCTATTCGTTAATAATGAGTCAAAGGATTGAAAGATGTAATTTTTTTAAGCTTGGTAATAATTTGTGTTAGCTTTTTAAAGATGTTTAAAACCTAAACTGGACGGTTTTTGTA